AAAATTAATCAAATATCTAATCATGAGGAAGACCTTACACATGCATAATACATTTTTCTCTTTCTAATTGTGCTCTAACTAACTACCAAACTCAAAAAAATAAAAAAATTGTTTTTTTCAAAGCTTAAGTAATCAATATTATATATTTAGAATGGAAATTAGCCCGTCATACAAATGCAGATAAAAACAAAAGAAAAACAAAAAATGTCACCTTATCCGCAAGCTTAGACTGCTGATCCATGTCCTTGTTCTGCTGCATTTGCACGAACAAAAGCTCCGACCCGCCCGCCTTCACGTAATCCTCCTCGTCGGCGAAATCCTCCCTCACCGGCAGAGCCAAGCAGCCCTCGCTCCCCGCGCTCGCTCCGCCACACCTGACGCGGAGCGCCGCCGGCGCGCGTTCGCCGCGCGAGGCCGTTGCTAGACCCGCGGCGCCCCTGAGCCTCTTCTTCCTTGAGCGCCTCACGATCGGGTAACCCGATACCGCCATCGCCGCCAGGTTTCTCGCACCTAAACTCTCCATCGGCTCTTCTTACTTCTCCGACGAGTTTTTTCGGGTGAATGGAGCTTTGGGTTGGTGAATAAATCGGTGGAAATGCGGGGGAGGACGACGGAAATGCAACAACTGTAGGGGGAGGAACTGTAGAGACCGCGTAAGTGGCTGTGGTTTTAAGTTGCCCTTTATGGCAATGTTGAACGGATAGGGGAGGAGGGAAATATCGTGACACGTGGAGTGATGTGATTCGTTGAAGTTATTGAGGACTTGTTGCACTTCATCTACGGATTTTTATTTGACGAGTACTAGATCATATTGATTCATCACATCTATATATAGAGTTTCGATTATATGAACATGATTCACAATAAAATAAATAAAAGAATAAACTTTTGATCATTGGATCCACTACATGTCATGATAAAGTCAAAATTGATTAAAATAGTCACCCACGCAGTGGCATATATATAAATAATTGAACATCTTTGATAAAAAATATTCAATCTTTTGGTGACTAGTTTTAACTCTTGTACTTTTAGTTTTAATGTTAGTATTTGTAAAGATTGTAACTTTCTAGCCAAAATGGCTATTCAAGGTGATTTGTAAGTGTTTTAAATCATTCTGGGGTTCTCAAACATGTGTGTGAGCTTGTTAGGGGAACCATGGTGCCTAGTTAGGCCTCGTATTGTAAGACGTTTATTGTTGAGTAATTTTATCTTGTTTGTCGTTGGAAAAAAAAAAAAATAAAAAATATTCAACTTAGGGCAAATATGTAAATTTAACCACACCACCCAATTAGTGGGCCCCACTCACCACAACACAAACCCACACTTTATCTATCACACACAAATCACACACACATACATTTAACAGACGAGTGCGACTGCTGGTCACCAGACCGCCGCCTGCCGCCCGTCGTCGGCTGACCACCAGCCCCGACCTCGACGAGTGCACTGACGGTCCAGTGGATGCCACCACAGTTGCAACCACCTCCTCTATCAACGTCCCCAACCTCCGTTGACCACCTTGATGCAGCCCCGAACACCTAGACGCATCTGAAAGTTCCATGCAATATCATACAAGCACACCAAAGATGAAGCCCACCCATGAAGAAATCAATGGCACACCATTGAAGAAGTAGCCTCCACCAACCTTCTTCATTCACACACATTTGTCAATGGTGGTGTGCTAAATCTTTCCTATAAATAGGTTTCTTATTTCATTTACTCAAATCATCCAAGAGTGTGATCAATCAACCTTGAGAGTGTTGAAACACAACCAAGAAGAGTTGTGGAGAGTTTGAGAGTTTTTTGTTTAGAGTTTGTAAATCTCTTGTTTTTATTCTTGTGAGTAATAGAAACTTATTTTTCTCTCAATTATATTTATGATCTTGGGATGATACCACAACAAGTGGTATCAGAGCTTGGTCTGAAGCTTTCAAGCTTAAATTTCGAATTTTTCGAGCTTCCATAGAAATTTCGAGTTTCTGAGTTGTGCTCGAAATTCGATTCCGAGGACACCGTTAGATTCGTCTCGTCGAGACGGTCGCAACGGTATCTTATGGGTGAAAAACGGACACCGGAGCTAAAAGTTATAGCCTTCTGAAGTTTTG